AAGGATTTATCAGCCTTGATAATATCCCCCCTCAGTCTTCTCTTCTCCAGACTGAAAAGCCCCAATTCCCTCAGCCTTTCCTCATCAGAAAGATGCTCCAGTCCCCTCCTCATCTCCGTAGCCCTTTGCTGGACCCTCTCCAGCAGTTCCCTGTCCTTCTTGACCCGGGGAGCCCCGAACTGGACACAGTGCTCCAGATGGGGCCCTCCCCAGGGCAGAGCAGAGGGGGAGGATGACCTCCCTCCACCTGCTGGCCACACTCTTCTTGACGCCCCCCCCGGATGCCGTTGGCCTTCTTGGCCACCAGGGCACATTGCTGGCTCATGGGCATCCTGTTGTCCCCCAGGACTCGCAGATCCCTTTCCCCAGAGCTGCTCTCCAGCAGGTCAGCCCCCAACCTGTACTGGTGCATGGGGTTACTCCTCCCCAGACGCAGTACCCTACATTTGCCCATGTGGAATTTCATTAGGTTCCTCTCTGCCGAACTCTCCAGCCTGTCTCGTTCTGCAAGGCCAAACTCCAGGTCCTCCTCTTCAGGTTGGGATCTTCAAACAGGGTTTTCCCAGAGGACAGCTTGCCTTGGTGAGCTGTTCTGACTGGGAAATTCTTTTTTTCTGGGAAACAGTCTGGGATATGCGTTGGTCGAGCGTCTCTGGAACTGAGCTGTTAAGCAGGAGATAGTTCTGGCCTCGCAACAGCTGTGTTGGGTGACTTGTCCAAGTCACATGTGGTTTCTCAGAAGTACCACTTTTCACAATGATGTAGCTCAGCTCCTGGCAGGAGTAATAACTCAAAAAGCATGTACTGGGTGCTCCAGAGAGATAGGTCTGCTTTGTTCCAGCCGTGGCTGCGCTCCCCGTGCCCGGCATGGCACGGCACCAACACCAGCTTCCCGCTCCGCGTTGCTTCTCTGCAAAGCTCGGGTGTATTTCCCTGCTCCGAGTGTTTCTGTCCAGGAAAACTTTCTGCAGTCAAGTGCCTGACCTTGGAACAGAGCCTCCTGCTCTCCTTTCTTTTTTGTTTTATTTAATATATAGTAAAATAAACTTATTTCCCCCTTCTTGATGTTAACAGCTGCCGCATTGAGCCACGGCACGACGAAGGGGAAATCAAAGCAGAGTGAAATTTGCTGGAGTTGAAAGGCAGGTCAGGGTTTGGGGTTACTCATCTCAATTGCACTTTTGTTCTGAAAACGAGAGGGGGAATGTGTGTACCCCGCCGGCCCGGCGTGATCTCCCCCAGCTTTAGGAAGAAGGAGCAGGAGCTGCGGGGTTGGATGCCCTGGAGGTCAGCCTGTGTGGGGAGGTGCTGGGCTGTCCGGGCTCTATCCGGTGGCCTTGGCGCTGGAGCAGCGCTGCGTGGGTGGGGGCCGTTGCTGAGCAGAAGGGCGGTCTGGGCTGCCTTGGGCTCGGGGGCCTCCGTGAGTCACAAGCGACTTCTGGCTCTACGGGGTCAAGTGTTCAGTCTTGCTGTGGCCAAGTGGATGCGTCTCAAGTCCCCTGAACCCTTCTGGGATTCTGTTCCCCACCCATAAACTAGAGCTACCGGCGCTCACATGGGACACCGACCCTTTTCTCCACTCTCGTCCCGTGGGTTCCTCCCCGTTGTTCTGCAGCCCAGGCAGCCAAGGTGGCATTTGGGCTTGGAGCAGCACTCGTGGCTCTTGTCCTGGTGCTCCAAAGCTGCGATTCCCGTATCCTGAGGGCTGCGGCGCTGAAGTTGGCAGCTCCGCGGGGGTCTTGGCCGGGGAACTCCTTCTTCTCTTTATCATCGTCTCGCTCCTTCTGGTTTTCCCCTGGCTCTGAAAAGGAGCTGCTGTTACAGTCCCGGCGAACATCAGGTTTTGATATCTGCATATGAAAGGTTCAGTCGCTCTGGAACAGGCAGGCGGTGACACTTCTTTATGCAGCGCAAAGCCCCAGTTGGGCTCCAGGGTCTCCACACCTCAAGGTGCCGCAGGGGTACCTTAAAGAAAAGGTGCTGCTTTGGGAATGCCGTGCTTTTGCGCATGGAAAACGAGGTCTTTGCATCCAGCTTACCCCCTGCTCTGTGTGCGCGCGCGCGATACGATACGCCTCCGCCACAGATTCTCACTCGGTGGCCTTGGGCATGTCACTTGTCCTGTGCGCGTTAGGCGATGTGGGCTGGACCGCGGTGGAGTGAGGTGGTGCCCTGTTGGGGGTGGGGGGGGAGTGTTCCCTGGGGTGCCAGGGTTGTGCCGCTTGTGCCAGCGGCCGAGGGGACCCGCCTGCTGCGGAGCAACGGGGGTGGGGGGAGAAGGGCCTGGCTGAGACTTCCCCTCCTCAATGGGAATGTCCCCCAAAATGCGCACTCTGCCCATACTCTGTTCCCCGGCGGTGACTGCCTCTCTCCTGCACTGGCCTTCACCTCCTTTCCCTTGGGGGTGGTGGAGTTGAAGGTCCTGAGACACGGCGGGCACACAGCTTTGTAGGAACCCCAACTAAGCACGGCTTGTCCCCAGGGCTTCTCTACCTGAACGCCCCAGGAAAAGCCGCTCACCTTCCCCTGCACAGCGGCAAAATCAAGTCTGTTCTGCTGTCCCAAACGCGTTGCTGCTGCTCTTGTGCCTTCCTTTCGCCTTGAAGGCAAAGCTCTTCAGAGGTGCTGCCTTGGCGAGAACGGGCTCTCCCGCTGCTCTCCAGGAGTAGCGGAGTAAGAGATGGGCCCCTCTTCCCTCCGGCAATCCCAGACCGTCCTGTCCCGGTGCCCAGAAGAGCCAACTCTTCTGCCAGGTGACAAAAGGATGCGATGGAGATAGCACAATCCGCGTAATTTTAATTTAGAGGCATCAATACAAAGGAAGGGAGGGAGCGCTGCGGTCCTGCAGCCAGACACTGATATCTCATCTGCACCAGAGCCGGCCGTGGGGTTTTGGCTTTCATTTCTGTTTTTCTTCCTCTTTTTATAAATTAAAATCCCAAAATAACTGCTGCTCTGGGATATTTTTAAGCTGTTTTCCCTTCTTCCTTTCTTCCCTGCATCTCCCAACAGCTTATAGCTGAGAGAGCTCCCGGTTGCCAATGGAGAAGGCTTCACGTCACTTCCTTGGCATGGGGCCGTCTCCAGCCCTCAATGCTCACTTTGTTTTTCCCCTCATAGTTTCAGTGAGCTGTCAGGACTCTTCACAGTGTCACATTACCCGTGTCCCACAGCCCATTGTGGGAGCTGCTGCTAACGTGGCATGCAGAGCACGGCGGGGGGAGGCTTCAGCGCCCCTCAGCCCGGGTACCAGGGCAGCGGGTGAGGCTCTCTCTCTTCCAGCTGCATCCTTTTGCCTTTATCCTCCTCCTCCGTTTCCTCTGCTACGTGGCTCAGCGTGCTCCCTTTCCCTGGGAAGTCGCCCACCTCTGTCCCTTGCATCCCACCCGGCTGGCTGTGCCTCCCCTGGGGCTCCGCGTCTGTCTTCTTTCGGCAGACTTTGAGCATCCAGCCTGAGAAAAGCACACAAGAAGAATCCCAGATTCTCCTAGATTGGAAAAGACCTGTAAGATCACCTAGTCCAACTGTTAACCTAACACTGACCAACCCACCACTAAACCATGTCCCTGAGCACTCTATCTACATGACCCTTAAATCCCTCCAGGGATGGGGACTCCACCACTGCCCTGGGTAACGCGTTCCAGTGCCTCATGACCCCTTCAGTAAAGAAATTCTTCCTAATATCCAATCTAAGCTTCCCTTGGCGCAACTTGAAGCCATTTCCTCTTGTTCTGTCACCTGTAACTTGACAGAACAGGTCGAGTCCCACCTCTCTGCACCCTCCTCTCAGATGGTTGTGGAGAGCAAGTACCACGTACTCCAAACTCCACCCGGCTCTTAACTCTCTGGTAGCTCTTGTGTGGTCGTATGAGGAGGCAGAGCGGTCTGAGTGGAATAGAAAAGGAGGGTTAAGAGTTGCATGTCACACTGGGAGATACCCATGTCCTGGTGGGACACAGACCTGGCTGTGATGGCAGCTCCTATTTCCGTAGGCATCTAGAATGAATGCTGTGATGGTTATGGGACTTCTGTACTGCCATAGATGACTTGCAGATGAATAAGCTATGCTCCATAACAACTATTAAAATGCTCAGCTGTTTAACTCTTAACCTTCTCTTTCGTCATGTGCGTTGGGGACCTTCTTTCATCTCGTGCTCTGGTTTCCTAGACTTCAAAAGTAGTTCCAGCCCAGTGTTTGGGTAGGAGGGATCAAGCTGTGATGGTAAAGGATGTGCCCCCTTTGAGTTGAATGGGAAACATCTGATCCTTGGTAGCCCCTATTGGGCTAAGGCTGCGCATAGCTCCGGGCTTTGGTCCAGAACATTTCCAAATTGTGAGTTTGGTTTCAGAAAAATAGTCTATTGACAGGGCAACACACGAAGTTTCAACAGTTAACGCGTGTTGGCTTCTGAGTCTTTGGCTGCACTTGTTACATTCTCCAGGACCTCCTTCAGCCGTCCTTGTAAGGAAGGAGCGCAGGCTTCTCCGTGGATCAAATCAACCGCGGTATCTAATCCGGCGTGCTTGTCTTGTGTGGCTGATAGTCAGCGGTCGGTGCCGAGATGTTCCCGATGGGGTTTTTGCTGTTGCCATTTGCACTGTTCTGGTTCTGAGCCTCTCTGTTTCTACCTTCTTTTGCTGTGCGTAATTTAGGCTGTTGCAGTGTGCGGTATCGTCAGTAACGTCAGGTTCCTGCTGTTTTCTGGATATCTGCAGATTTGGGAGCCCGTCGTGCCACGCAAACATGTTTAAATCGACGGGCTTAGAAGGCCGACAACCCAGCCACGATCTCCTGGGGTGATTTGGGAGGTAGTGCCCGATGCTGCCTGGAAAGGGCTGGAAGAGATAGATGGAAGCTGCCCCAGGTGGTGTCGATAGTGCAGCATCGGAGGAGGGGGTCTGGGGGAGGGTAGGAAAGCTTTGGGTTAGCTGTCTGTTTTCTTGTTTCTAACTGTTTTTGTTCTCTCCTTTTTCTCCTCCCCCTCCCCTGCTTTCTAAAGAACATAGGAAGCTTCTTGCTGGTAAGTGGTGGTGTGTCATGCCAAAAAAATACCATTTTTTCCATTCCACCATCAGACTCGCTGGTTAGTCCCTGTCATTCTCCCATCCACCCAGGATGCGCTGGAGCAATAGAAACCTTCTGGAGGTGGGTCCAGGCACACCCATCCCCGCGGCCTCTTGGCTGCTGAGTGGGCGCTCACCTCCAAGGGAGCTATTGCTTTTAGATCACAGTTTGAAGAACTGCTTTGCCCTCTGCCTCCACGTTGCCCGGCCTGACGTCGTCGCCTGGGCTCGATTGGATTGCTCCTGTCCCGGCACAAAACATGCCACGGCTGCTGCGGCACCGACCCTCTGGAGTGCTGCGGGCGCGAAACTGTGATCTAAGGACACCTCTCACGTAGTGCTTGTCTCATGTCCGACTCCATCCTCAGCTTCTCACCTTCTTCACCCGCTGCCTGGGGAGGGTGGGGGAGAGCGCTCACTGTCCCAGCTCATACCGGAGGTAAAACGGAGGGATTTGCCTCTTGACCTGGCCTGGGGGGGGGTTGTTTGTGGCATGTGCTGCACTCGATGTCCTTAAAGAAGGAGGGCAGAGCGTTGCTGCCAGCAAGTCGAGGGCAGAGGCGACACGTGCCCCCGGGTCCTGGCTGAGCTGCGAAGCTGCAGGTGTGGGGCAAACACGCCACAGACAATTCTGGGCATCTTTCTGGCGAAAACAAGCGGAGCGCGGGCACGGGCTGAAGCCCCTAAGGTATTCCTGACCCCGCTCCTCTGGTCCCCTCGTCTCGCCTCCCCTGTGTCAGCAACGACTTGTCTCTTCCTCAGCTGTCTTCTGCACAGATGCTTGTTTTAAACAGTGAATCCCGGTCATTAAAACATTAAACAAAGGGTGTGCGTGCCCCCGTGCTGACGGGAGCAGCCCGTAGCGGGGCGAGGGCGTACGGGGCTGCAGGCTGGCTAGGTGCCCGCTTCCCTGCCAGCCCTGGGGCTGGGAATCCTGGCATCCCGGCGGCCTCGTGGCCAGCTCCTTTGTTTGGTGGCTGTGGAGACGGAGCGTACGTCAAGGAAGGCGTTTGGCATGTGGTTGGGGCCGGCAGCTCGTCTCACGCCCTCCCCCTGCCACGCACGAACCTTCCTGCGGATGGAGGACGGGGCAAACGTGGTGCTTCCCTGTGCTGCCACCCCCTCTCCGGCGAGCCCGGGCAGCCACCCTGCTGTGACAAAACGTGTCCCAGGTCTGTGTTTGCCATGGACAAAGCAGGTGTCCCCTGCTTGTACGGCCAGGACTGGGTACGGAGGTGCCCAGCCGCTTCGCTGCACCGGCTTTGGCTTCAGGGCTGCTCCTCTGCCCACAATGTGTTCACCTTGAGACCTTTAGGTTCGCTGCTGAAACCCCCCAGTACGTAGCTGGGTAAGCAGCTGGCTTTTCGGTGCGATGTGGGGTGGGACGGAGCTGCTCGCCTTGGTCTGGGCACGGCGGCCCACGGTGTCGGACCCCACTGAACCCAGGCAAAGGGAGTTCCACCAGGACCGCACCAGCCGTGGCTGCTGAGCTGCTTAAAGCCATCACTGCTGTGGTTCCTCCCTGTTTTGTGCCCCTCGTTATGTATAATATAGATAGCGTGCAGATCGGGGGGGGCGTAGGGTAGGTAGGGCTTTGTTTGGATGTGTGCCCTTGCTGCAAAGGCGCTGGAGAGGGAACAGAGGGACATCAAAGTTTTATTGAAAGCCACCCACTCCTGCCCTGGCCCCTGGGCCTCTCTGGCTCCAGGAGGAGCAAGGAGAGAAGCAATCCAAAGCCGACAGCATCCCCTGCCGGCTGATGCTTCTGTGCCTCTCAGCCCTGAGATGCATAAACTGAGCGGAGAGGGTTCGGCTCTCCTCCTGGGTGCTGTTGGCTGCTCCCAACACCGGCTCCTACAAACATTTGACTTTCAGCTGTGTGTGGTTGACAACGCCATAGCTGGATGCCGCCTGCTCTTTGGCTTTTCCAGACAGCAAGCGGGCGGGAGAAAAAGGATCTGTGTTCCTGGGGATGCCCACTCCCCCTTCCTGTGTCCCCATCCGAGACCCTCTGCAGTGCCTGCGAGCGATCTCCGCGCCGGACCGGAGTCGGTCAGAGGAGAGGGTGTCCCTTTCCTTCCTCTCCTTCTTCTTTTCACCTTATTGCGTAGCTCGGGGGGGGGTTTGCTCTCCCCAGGGAAGCAGCCTGCGCTGGGTTTGTCTGAGCAGCGCCGTGGCGGAGCTGGGTGATGGGGCTGCGTGTCTTTCCCTGCGCTGCGGCAGGGGACGATGCTGCTGCCGCCGTGTCGGCGTGTCCGGCTCTGCGCCTTCCCGGGAGACCTGTCTCGCACCGCTCGGCGGCCCCTGTGGTTCATCCGCTTTACGGGAAAGGGGTTAACAAAACTCCGCTGCACCAGACGGCTTGGACCAGAGCCCGGGGCTGACGCTTTGGGTGATGGGTGCCATGACCGAGCGCCTGTTTCGGAGCTTCTGCGTGGGAGCTCCGTGCTCTGCCTCCGTGGCAGGCGCCGGTGCTGGCTGGCACAGAGCTGCATCACTCGAGGGCGCTGGTGTAACTTCTAGCCGGTGCGGGCTCTTTTGTGGCCGGATGGCCTCTCTTAGGAGAGTCGCACTGTGAGAGCGCTTGGCTGGTGTGACTCGGCTCCTGGCCCGGGGTCGGGAGCAGCGTGTGATGTCCGGCTCCCCTGCGGAGCCCTGGCTGGGAGGAGGTGGCAGAGAGCTGCACCGTGGCGTGGCGTTCGGCTTCTGCTCTCTTAGAGATGCTCTGGTTTTAAAGGCTGGCGGGATCTTTCCTCAATATTGCTCCCAGCGCTCCCTCTGCCTGCAGCGCTCTGCACGGCCGGCACGGCAAGAGGATGCTTCTGCTGTCGGGATGTCTTTTTTGTCCAGGGTACGGTGCCGGCCGTTCCTGCATCGCCCCGCTGCTGGGCTCCTTGAGTGCTGGGCTGGAGGGGCAGGAATTGAGGTGTTTTTAGTGAGGGATCTCTGCTTTCTCGCGCTCGGTGAGGAGGGAGAGATTGACAGCTGTCAGTCAGATCCCAAAGCAGCACTGATTTATTTTTTTGGTGGTATCTGGCGTCTGGTAGGCAGCAATGGGGGGGTGAAGGGAGCTAAAGTGGTGTCTCCCGCTGGTGTTACCTCTTCCCAAGTAACTGGTGGCTCAAGGGCGCGGGGTCCCACAAGATGCTCCTTGAGTGCTGGGCTGGGTGGGGAGGAATTGAAGTGGTTTTAGTGGGGGATTTCTGCTTTCGTACTCTCTGCCTGCCTGGTTCTCACTGGTGTGATGTGTTTTCTCACTAGTTGGGCTCTGCTGACGTGGTTTTAGGACTCCCAAGGCCTGTGTGAGGTTACTGGCAGTACCCTAACTCCAGCCAATGCTGCTGTTTTGGGCAGATCTGGTATGAGGTGTACCCCCCCCTGTCGCTGAAGGGTGTCATTCATTGTATGGAAGCACTCCGGTGACAGCTGCTTTCTCACTGGGAAGGTATCCCGAGTGCCAGGGATACATGCTAATTTTAGCCTGCCGGGTGTTTGCTCCGGAAATGTGCTGTAGGTTTGTTTCATCATTTGTTTTCTACTGTTTTTTCCCCCCCGTTTTCACCCCCTCCCTGTGTTATCACATCCTCGAGGATCTCTGCCACGCCGGCTGATCCTCACACCCCCTTGCAGACGAGCAAGTTTACATCAGCTCGCAAAGCAACTGGTGTGCGTTTGGAAGAGGGTTGGCAGAGGTGATGTCTTACAGCTCAACCAACTCCGTCAGCACGTAGAGAGGCTGAAGGCTTGGGCGAGTCGCTCTCAGCCCCTCCAGTAGTCAGGAATGGCTCTTCCTCTGGTGGAGGGAGTCGATGCTGTCTCGGGGAGACAGTAGCCACAGGACGGTGTAAGTTCAGAGCAAACTGTAGCCCCTGAGGTGTTTGAAAGGGCTGTTTGTCCCCCAGAAAGGGGAGAGGCTTCCCTTCCTCGACACCTTAGTGTTGCTCTACCATCGTCCCCTCCGCGCCTCGTCCGTGGCGATGCGGTGGGCTCGGGGCTCAGCGCGGGTTCCGCGCGGCGCGGCTGGGTTGGCGAGAGCGGCAGATGGCAGTGTGAGCCCGCCGAGGAGCCGGGGGGCTGCGGGCTGAGCTCGGGGGCGCACCTCCGGTCCGCGCGGCCGCAGGGTCGGGGCTGCGATGCTGCGGACGCCCAGGACCGCACCA